CAAGTGTGTGTTTAATTTATTACTTGTTTACTAAACACACATTAGAAATTTACTTAACATGGTGTCACGAAATTTCGTCCATTCAAATTTATGTAAATCTATCTAGCATCTATGTGCAGACAAATGTTTATGTATACGAGTATAAACAAGAAATTTAGAAGTTAGCTGTCCAAAATTTTCTGAAAGCAAAAACGAGTGATTTATGCCACATTATGTTGCATATTAATAAATAAATTTGTATGCATATAAGTAGTTATATACAAAWCTCACGCCATGAAAAATCACATATGTGCATACGCCCACATAAACAGGTGAGTTAAAAAACACAGAAAAAATGAAAGCCGTCAAAAGGATTGTTAATTTTTTCTCACTTTTTAACATGCGTTGGCGTTTGCTGGTTTTTGTATATTTTTTACTTTTTAATTTTTAACTACAGTTACTTTGTTCTACCTATTAGCGTTTTGTTCCATCAGCATTTGAWTAATGGGCCTGTCTGTTAGTCGTAGATCGCAATCAGCAACGGACATTYGCGAAGCCATTGAATGACTTTTACATAAGTAAGTCAATTTATGGTGTCAGTGCCTAAAATTCAGAAAACTGCGTAAACAAAAAGTGACATACGCAAAGCATGAGAAGAAACGTTATATTAACTATATATCAGGTATACAGGGTGCTTCGGTAAGATTAAATTAATGTAGCCATTTCAAAAACTAGGTTCGTACCGTCAATATACACAAGGTGTGTTCCAAAGAAAACAGGACTTTAAAAAAAAAAACAGAACAAATATTTTTTTCGACAAAATCAAYTTATTTTATTCAAATACAATATTCAATACAGCTTTTTTTCACGGTCCAAAAGCATGGCGAACGAGTTATTTAGCTCGTTGGCCGGTATGATCGCCAGTCTGCCAATGCAAGCCTTCTGAATGGCCTCCGAAAAAGAAGATGTCGCACGGTGCCATATCAGGTGAATACGGGGAGTGGTTAATGGTTAAAATGCGTCGATGGATTTTGAGCAATTTTTGGTCGTCAGTCAATTTGTGCGGAACAAATCGTGCACACACATTTCGTAAGCCCAAATACTSGGTCAAAATGCGATAAATCGATGTTTTGGAGATGTTCAATTCCGGTGTTCAGGGACTTTGTTTGGCCCACAGGTTGATCATCATTAAGACATAAATGACGATCACTTTCGATCTCTTTGAAAACGTTGAAACCACTCGTGCACTCTGCTACRGGATAGGCAATCATCGCCATAAACTTGYTTCATCAATTGAAACGTTACGGTAAAAGTTTTACCAATTTTAAAACAAAATTAAWTGTTGGCTTTTTGTTCGAAACTCATTTTCGCACCGCTAACACAAACATRCTGACACTTAAAATGCAATAACTTCACTTCCATTCAATGAAWTGTCACGAAATTCTYACTGGACAATCGATAAAGATAACAGATTCTAACGTATCAGTCGACATATAGGTGGCGCCACCAAGGGGCGCTAGATTCAAAAACTCCTATTTACTTTGGAAACCACCTTGTAGTGTTGGAAGGGTGATGAAATTCGCTATATTCTGAAATTTTTGTATAAAAAAACGAGTAATGGCAAGCAAGCCACCAATAAAATTTGTGAAGTTTACGGAAACGATGCTATATCAGTTCGTGTTGCACAACAATAATTCGCTCGCTTCCGTTCTGGAAATTTCGATGTGAAAGATGCACCACGCATTGGTCAATCTATCGTCGAAAAATTCGATGAAATTATGAAAAAACATCGCTAAGAAAATTAACATTCATCATMAAACGGTTTTAAACTATTTAAAAAAGGTTATGCTGAGTGTTTGGTAGGATAGGAAAGGAATCATCGATCCTCGTCGAACGATTGATTCTACATTTTATTATCAACAACTAATGTGATTGACGCAAGCAATCGAAAAAAAACGGCCAGAGCTGATCAACAGAAAATGCTTCTCCACGCTAGACCACACAAAACCAGCAAAGACTGAGAGAGCTTGGTGGGAAGTCCTGACCTTACACCGTCGGACTACAATTTGTTTCGGTCAATGCAGAACTCCCCTAATGGAGTATAGTTGGCTTCAAAAGAAGCCTGTGAAAATTACTTTTTTGACTACCGTAGATTTGTAGACAATTTGCTAATCGATTGTATAAAAGACGTCTTAAAGCCTCTGGGGATTTAATTTTACACTTAAAAAATAAGAAAAGTTTTGTTTTGACTATTCCAAATACCAACTCACAAGTTTCGGAGTCAATAGATTGAAACGTTTATATAAACCACCTCGTTTCATAATCTTGCTTGAACTCACCAAATTCTTGTTTATATATTTTGTTATGAAATTTAACTTTAGTCTTTTCAACACAAATTCGCTTTAACTGTCGAAAGGCAAACAAAAAGAATATAGTATCGAGCTATGGTTGTGTTYCAAGTAACTCAAACGACCTCGGCTTTTGTTTAAACATCTGAAACGAAGTTGGTATTATCATAATGTGATACAAAAGTTTGTTTAAAAACACACGCCTATATACATACGAGGTGTGTTCAAAAAGTAT